TCAGGCTGGGGGCGGGGGGTTCTGACTGCTCTCCATGGCTCACCCACCCCTTCTCTTGAGCCTGTAATTCTACATATGTCCATCCTCAACTCATAGATGACCTTCACAGTCCTTGAAAGGACAGCCCATCTCTGAGTTGGTGTGCCCAATCTGGCAGAACACTACTTTTCATTAGCAAGGATGAAAAATGCCTATGTGTCACGCCAAGGGGTTCAGCTGGGATCAATGGAAGCTAGAAATAGTGCCCCAAATTAGTCCTGTACAGAGAGAGGAATCTGAGTTTCTCCCAGGTGGGAGGAGGAGGGAGCAGTCAGTTTCTAGAAAGGCAAAGATGGACCCAGCAACTAACGAAGAATCAGGAGTGGAAGCTCCCAGGCAGTGATGAGACAGCTGGATTCCTCTCTCTCTCTCTTTCTCTCTTTCTCTCTCTCTCTCTCTCTCTCTCTCTCTCTCTCTCTCTCTCTCTCTCTCTCATATCTTATTTCTTACAGTTTCTCCCTTGAATTGTGATTGCATACGATAAAACTCACAGATCTGAAATACAGGGGTCAATGAATTTGACAAATGCACACTCCCATGTAACCTACAACCCATCACCCTATGAGGTCCCTTATGGTTCTCTCCACCTCCCCACCACCACCAGTGCCACTCCCCTCTCCCAGGAGCAGACAAACCCCATTTATAGCCTAGATTTTGATTTGATATATTCTGCAGGCTTTCAACTTCAGTCTTAGAGCAACTGAGAAAATCAGCCAGGGAATTCTATCAGCTAAAGTGTCCATATTCCCTTATATAAAAAGGGCATCCCCTACCCTAAGACCCTAGGTATTTGCCCCGCTGTCTCTAGTATGCCCTCTGACCCCCAGGGATTCCCATGAGCCACAGCTCTCCTCTCCACCAGTGAGTTTCTTAGCCCCAGTCTCCCAGGTAAGTAAATGGCGGAAGTTTTTAGTCACAGGGTCATGCATGCTTTGATGGTTACTATACAGAGGTGCAATGCCCAGAGCCTCAGCATGGCCAGCAGCATGTTGGTCCTTCCTCCAGCACTGCACAAAGCGGAGCTAGCTACGCCTTTTGTGCATTTTCTTTCAGAAACAAAGGCTCTCATAACATCTTCTACCAGGTTTCTAGCCATCTCAAAGGCCACTGAGCTGAAATCATCCACTGGGGACAAGGGGCTGAATATGTGGGTGTTTGTTTGAGTCCCTGGTCCAGGAAATTTAAGCATCCCAAGTTCTCCTGGGTTACACTTTTGCTAAGTGTGTGGAAGGTAGAAGGTGCTTTGTCTGTGTGCAAAGCTGTGGTGTCTCTGGAATGTACCTTCTGCAGTTCAGTTCTTAATCACTGGACATTTTTCTCCATGTGGACAAAGGCTGCCTGCTGATAGCATTTTCAAACATTCTCTGCTGCTTCACTCAGCTACGCCAAGGCCTCAGGCTGAGCTGGCTGCTGTTCTCTGGCACCACAATCTGATCTCTTCTGACCGGAACTGAGGCACATCACACGTTCACACCCCGAAACACTGCTGCCTCTGTAACTCTGTAACAAGTGCCAGGCATGGGCAAACTAACCACTCCCCTTCCTTCAGAATCATCCCTGCTGGAGTCAGGGATGGGGAAAAAAGTAGAGGGAAGAGAGACCCCTAGAGGGTTCAGGAGGGGGCTCTCTGGGTAGAGCAAGAGCCTGAAGCAGCCTGCAAGCCCACTGGGCATAGCCTCTGGGGCAGCTCACCTCAGAACAGACAGCTTCGCCTCTAGAATTTCACTTTGATCCCTGAACACCACAGGAGTCTCTGTTCTTCAGAAGGCTGCTGCTGAGCCGAGGGGAATCTCATGATTTCTTCCCCCAAAGCTCCTGGCCATGCATCCAGCCCTGACTGCCTCCTGTGTGATTAACTTCCTTACAGCCAATAGCCCAGCCTCCCTCACTCGGGTGATGGCATGGTGGGTGGATTGCAGCTATACCATCTCAGCTGAACACAGTTTTTGTCCAAGCCATCCCCAAGCCCTCCTGACCTCCATGTTTAGCGTCAAATCTGGCGTTTGGTAAATGTGTGAGCTCAGCAGTAAGAGACAGACCAAAAGGCCACACTCCACCACCTGGATGCTGAAAGGCAGGTACTGATCCCAGGAGCAGCTCCTGGGCTGGTTAGCCACCTGCTTCATCCCTGAAGTTCCCAGAGATGAAGGGCTTTGGGAAGAAGGGGAGGGCCTGCTATTTGCACGCTGGCCACAGGTCCTTGGAGTCAGAACTATGAGGCTGAGTTCTGGCAGGAAGAGATTAATTATCGCTTCCAAATCCAGCCAGACTCTTCCTCTAGAGCTGGAAAAGGTGAAGGGTGGGGGTGCCTCGGGGTTAAAATTACTCAGAACAATCCTCCAGGAGGAAAAAAAATCTCTAGCCTGCCTCAACCCACAGCCCCTCTGCAGCCAAAATGACCTCACTAATGAAGATGGAACTATAATGAGGGTTTGGACAACTGGTAAACCTTACTTTCTTTGTCTTTGAGTTCTTAACACACATTTTTATTCAGATTTAGTGGGGGGGGTTTCCATTGTGTCAAGTATAGCAACTAAGACACAGTATACAATATACAATGTTTAATTTGTGACCCTGGTAGAGGAAAAAAGGAAGGAGAAGAGAAGCCAGATTAAGTGTGTGGCCACTACAGCAATAGGCTGCACCTTTCATGTGACCAGAAGAGAACAAAGGTGACAAGAAGTGATCTTGTCATCCCAGAGGGCCCTTAGACTCATGTTTGTTTTCCAGAAAAGGCATCTATACTCAGTCTTATTATTCTTGCCCTTATGCCTATACTGAAAAGATACATCCCAATTGAATCAACAGGGACACAAATGTTCCCTGCTCCGTGTGAGAAAGGGTTCCTTGGAGCATGAGAGCTAGGCTGGGATGGAGGCCTTAGAAGCCAGTGTCTGTCTTCTAAGGGCACTGTGGTATTGTCCTTGATGTAAAATGACTGTCCTTTTAAGAGATTCTCAGACTGACATAGGATGGGCTGGGAAGATGACCACATAACATACCTGCCACACAAGCTTCAGAAGCTGAGTTAGACACCCAGAACCTATGTAAAAAGCTGGATGTGGTTATAACTCCAGCACCAGGGATGGACAGAGCTGGATCCCTGGTGCTCTCTGGTCACCTAGCCTAGGCTACTCACATGAGTTCTAGGCCAATAAGAAACCATGTCTCAAAAACTGAGGTGGACAAAGTGCCTCCTCAGGAAAGACACCTGAGGTTGTCTCTCTGAACTCCACATATACTTACATGTGCCTGTACAGACACACACCACACACACACACACGACTGACATAGGAATGCTCCAAGATTTTTTAAAGCTGTTTGAAAAATCTTTAGCCTAGTATAAACATAGGTTGCTGCAGGCTGAGTTTAGTGTATCTGAAGACTGAGATAAGGTTGTTGATGGGGAAGATTGTGTGTGTGTGTGTGTGTGTGTGTGTGTGTGTGTGTTTGCATTTGTGATTTTTTTTTAAGATAAGGGAGAAATGAAAGAAAAGAAAGAGGAAAAAATGGGAATAGATACAGACTCCATGACAGCTTCTGAGGCAATTCCATTTCTGGACAAGCCTTCATCCATGCCATCGGCCGTCTCAGCTAGCTGACTGTGTCCCTCCATACAGAGCTAAGCCAGATGACACACAGCCATGCACCCTGCCAGCTCTAAGCTCTTGTTCGTTTATTAGCTCTGCCCATTCTCCATCAATTCATCAATCAGCAGGTCTATTGAGTACCCTACTAGGCTTCACCAACCAGATCAATTTTTTTTAATTACGTCCAGCTTACATGCAGTCAAGCCCAGTAAACAAAATGAGCCCCCACATCCTGCTTGGAAGTGAGCATGAGGAACGGCTGGCCCGTGCATTCTCACTGCCAAACTCCACAGCCCTTGCTGGTGGGGGGATCATCTGTTGCCCTCTGCAGATGGTGACAGATGTCAGTGACCCACTGTCAGTAGCAGGATGGGCTTTGAATGTTTTCCCAGACATGGCGATCAATCTGCTTGGGGTCCAGCCACATTCTTCCCTGAGACTCCTGTCCTGTAATAGCAATCTCTAAAGGGGGTGTAGAGGAAGAGTAGAAACCATGTCAAAGAAAATAATGGCACTGACCAAGCCTCGTTCATCCTGTGCCTCCTCCTGCTATCCAGTACTGAACTCCCTCCCAGATCATAGGCTTCTCAACCACCCCTCCAAAGCCTGCAAGTAACTAGACTTTCCCAGGACCTCTTTGTCTCATAGACCAGGCCTCAATGATTCTGAGAATAATGCAATGGCAACGTAGGATTTAAGTGGAGTTCATAGTCTTCCCAGTTCAGAGCCATCACACTTGATACTGCCTTCGGGAATCAGGAACATCAAAGGCGGCAGGATTGCAGCTCCCTGACACTTCTAAGGGGGTGCAGAAAACACTGAAGGACCTAGTCATGTTCACAGTCACAGCACCTAGAGCCAAGAGTCCCCGAATCCTCTGTGTCAATCTTTCATTTCAAGTAGGAGTCATAATTTTCAGATTTCCCGTGACTAATTAATTCCTTCATTTCTGATCACACGGATCTGTGGTCTTCATCTATTTGTGTCGACGATTCCTGACCTCAGACTTCTCCAGCCTACCTTTTCCTTACACACTAGAGTGAAGTCAAGTCGCAGGGCAGCTCACAGGCAGTAAAGAATCTGAGGGCTTTAATGGCTAGGCTTTGGTATGTAAAACTTCCATAACCCAGCAAGAGCACTAGCCACATACACACTCACTCCCTTAACCTGCCCCAAGTCCTGTTTATCTCAGTTGTTTCTAGCTGAGATCCCATAGAGAGATCCCTACCAACAAGATCAGCTAGGATGGGTGGTTGATCTTTTGGCCAGAGTGACTCCGAAAACAATTAATTCACCCGTTTGACTCTCTGTCTCTGTCCCTCTGTGTGTCTGCACACCTGTGTGTGGTCTCTGTCTTGGCTCTCTCTGCAGGGAAAGTCGCTGGCGGGCAAGCGCCTTACGGGCCTGATGCAGTCCTCCTGACCGCCCCGACCCCAGGCCCAGGGCCCGGGCCCGCAGAATACCTGGGCAGGCGACGCTCCACATCCAACGACAGAGCTTCCTTGAGGGGAGATTTGGTCACTGTGAAAGAGAAAGAGTGAGGGCCGCGGAGGGCACTGATGGGAAGATGCGGTGGGTAAATGGGGAGACCAGAGAGAAAGAGTCCATGGTGCTGGGCCAGCCAGGAGAGGCCCTGCTTATAGCCTCTCTCTTGTACAGCCACGCACCAATGCTTATTCTCAACAAGGGTCCATTTCTAATGTGGTCAGAGAATGTCTCATGGGGTTCCTGTCTATCACTCGAGATGTTAACCTCACCTATCCAGTGGTCTGTGGAATCATGCCTTCCAGCAAGCTTCAGAAGGACCCTGGGCACATAGTATTAAGCATCACCTCCCTGCTACTCTCTCTAATGCACTGACAGTGCTCACTGTTACCTGTTCCCCCTCCCTAACTGGTAGCCACCCACGTCTACTGGGTGGGTGACAGATGCTGCTTTCACATAAAATGTCAAAAGTCACATCTTCAGCCCTAATGACCCTTCAAGTTCTCTCCACCCTTGTGAGACCACATTTTTAAGAAGTCTCCATGAATATGGTGGCCACCCCTAGTTCTCATCAAATGTCCAAGGGTCCAGAGCTTGAAGAGGTACTCAGCACAGATAACGGAGTGTGTTGTTTAGCCACTGAAGGTTCGGGTGACAATCTTTTTAAAAGATTATTACTTCCTGTCTTCTGATTTTAACCCTTGCACCTCGGCTTGTTCCCTTGTATTTTACTCACAATAAACATGGCCATGAACTCAGGGGCCATTGGGCTTCTCCCCACTGGTAGCCCAAGATGGAAGTTTCTGGAGGTGGATGAATTGTAGGACTGGCACATGGCGGTATCCTACCAGGCCTGGCCAGACTCTCACTGGTTTAGGGCCCAGTTATTCTTGAAGCTTAAACACAATATGCAATGATAGGTCCAGCCAGAGCCACAGAATTCCCTTCCCAACCTTATTCTGAAGACCTAGCCAAAGCACCCTATTACGTGTAGTCAGTCATCTAGGACTAGGAAAAAGCAAACTGTACTGGAGCCTGCAAAAGATCTTCTGTGTTCTTCAGGTAAATAACTATTCGCCAACCTGGCTGTGAAGTCTTGTGCTTAAAGTGTCACATCAGGTCCAGAATGAACACACGGGCGATGCTTGGCAAATGGTCACTAGTATGGTCATTGTCATTGTTACTATGATCACCAGATACCCTCAGATGCAGATATATTAGACAGCATGCCTTTAAATTCAAACATGTTCTTCCACACACACCTGCCCTGCCAACACCTATTGGCCCCTCCTTTGATCTATATATGGCCATAGGTGAAAACGCCCCCTTGAGAGTATATAGACAAAGAAGCAAAAGGAAGGAAGGAAGGAAGGAAGGAAGGAAGGAAGGAAGGAAGGAAGGAAGGA